TGCTAGATCTATTAAAAGACTAAAAGGAAGGGGCTGCATAATTTGCAGTGTAATAAAATGCACTAGATGCATACATGTATCTTGCTCTCGTTTCATAAAAAGTATCATTAATGTCTGTTAACTAATTTGATATATGGTGTTTCAGTAAAAGTACAACTATTTAGACATTCACCACTACTGTTATATTTCTTTTGAGAGAACTTCACAAAACTATACATATAGATGGGAAATGAGACAAAGCAGCCTTCTCCAAACTTGTTATAGTACTTAAAGTGACCATTGTGAAAATACTCTGCTGAGAAGTCACATCGTTGGTAAATACACCCAGGTCTATTAATAGTATGGCTTCCTTTGTTGTTAAATAGGAAGTTAAGAACATATCTTGGAAACTCCAGTGACATTGAGCATCTACGCAAGAGTCCAGCCTTTAAGCTATTTTGAGGAACTAAGAAGAAAGAGCTTACAACATCCAAAATAGCTCTCATTGGAGGCTAAGGTTTATGAAACAGTCTAATAAGTTAAATAGCAACTATAATCATGGATATTCCCTTTAGTGATAATGCTAACCTAACTGCTGCCTCAGTAACTTCACTCTCAGGCTCCAAGTGGCTTCCTTGGAGTAGTTTTTCCATAAAACTGAATAATAAACCTTTCCCTAAAACAAGCCAAGATAGGCAAGCTGAACAGTGTCACAGTACTGACTTTTATCGTTCTTCGTTCAATTAATCTCTCCACTTCATAGACGTCATCCATAGTCAGTATCAGCATACTCTTATTTTCCACATCTGTTTCAGTATCTATAAGCCTTCTATAGTACCCTTTCTCATGCTGTTTCATAGAACTCTTCGTGACCGTGAGCTACGAACAGCCATATTGTTTCCTTGCTATGACAACTGGCAATATATGTTATCAATATCATTAAACTGTTATTAATATCATTAATAAACTATGAATTTTGTTATTAGTAAATGACTGGAAGTAGCATTATTATTTCTGGACATGGATCGTTTTTTCGTCTGTAACAGCAAAACTAGCTACCAGCTTTTATAACTTGGAACTGAAGAGGTTTGATGTAGCCTAAAATACCTTTACCTTCTGCAGCAGACTATTGTATAAATAGTTTTAAGCTGCTGTATGCATCTCGACACATTAAAGTGTAACTGACTTGATTTTTTGGGGTATTTTCTTATTGACCAAACATGATCATCATATAATCATAAAATTGCTATATGGAAAGTTTTATTGTCTGGAAAAAATTATTCACAGAGATATGAGCCTTCAAAGTTGCTCATTTTGCTTCCTACCATTTTACATCCTGTCAGGGGCATGGCTAAACGTGATGTCATACAAGGCTTATGGTTGACTTTTACCATTGACTGCAATGTAACTTTAGTAGATAATATCTGTTAGATTTCATTTTATACCTTGAAGCTTTAATCTGTTGTAAAAGTGATAGATTGTGCATTTAATTCATAATGGTCAGACGACATCTGAGTCATTATGGCTGGTATAGCTTGCAGCTCATAGGCTACTTTTGACAATCCATACTAAAGTTGTTCTTGTGTGGTTCATCAAATTTCATGTACTAATTTTCTTTA